CCTCCACCTGTGACTATTTTCCTTTGGTTGAACATATTAGAGAATACCACTTGCCATATTTGGCTCACGGGGCACCAGGCTTTCTAAGCTACAAGTTACAAACTGTAACCCATCCACCAAACATGGCCCCCCCATGCGTTTTATTTATCCTACACAAAGTTTTATAGGATTTTGAATCAGTTGCCTCCATTTCAAAAATGACTTCTTTCTTAAAAATAAAGTTATGATTTTTTAAAAAATCAGGTAATCTGGAAGCCTGGAACCCACATTTTGTCATGGTAACTTTTGGCTAGAGTTGAACAGAGGCTGACAGGACAGGTCAGGTTCTCTGTAATTCTGCCAGGCCCCCCGATCCTTGCTGTGTTACACTTGCATTGTGGATTTATGTTTTCTGTCAGTGGTAACCGGGAGCCATCAAAGGCTCTAGAGGAAGGGAGTGGCTCATCCAAAGTTGGAAGTTCTGGCTCCAATTTTGGCACCTCTTACTGGTCTTCAGCAAATTGCTCAACTACTTTGGCCCTTGCCATGCTAATTTGTAAAGTAGACATGAAAATAACAACCTTTGTTCACAGGGCTGCTGTGGGGATCCAGTGTGACGATGAGACAGTGGTTAATGAAATGCAAATGAAAGTTCCATGAAGTCAGAGATTCTGGCTGTCATTTTCCCTACGATAGCCCAGGGCCTAACAAACAGCAGGTGTTCAATATATGCATATTTTATGCATGAATGGATGATTAATATATATCTTTAATGCTGGGTACACAGCAGGTGCTCAACATATGTTTATTGAATAAATGAATGGATGGACGAAGAATATATATCAGTGTCTGGTATACAGCAGGTGCTCAATACATGCTTATTGAATGAGTAACTGAATGAGCAAATTAATGAATGCATAATGCCTATGCATCCACCCCTGGAGCCTGATATACAGGGGATGCTCAATAAATGTAAAAAGAAAGAAGGGAGAGAGAGAAGAAGGAAAGAAGGAAGGAAGGAAGGAGCTCTCGATTTGTAAAGGGCAGAACAGATATTAGACAGAATGACAGTCATAGTTAATGAGAAGCCCAAAGGCCCAGGAGACATTTCTGCAGAGTCCCAAACAAGCTCTTGGGTGGAGCTGGCTGGCAGTACCCCTGCTTTTGTAATGGCCATGGCAGTCCTTACACAGGGTTGCTGAGCCCTCATTTTGGGGCGGCTGGAAAGCCCTGGCAGCAGCGGACAAATGCAGAGCCAGCTGCAACCTGCTGTGACCAAACAGGACCGATTAGCGTGTCTCTGCTGCCTGGCAGCAGGGTAATCCAGCTCCCAGTGGACCTTGAAGGAGGGTTAACTCCCATGTGCTGGTCTCGGTGCCTTCTTTTCTCCCACGGCTGCTAATTAAGTCTTGTATTTGATTCAAGACTCCTTGGATTTCAAGGAAGAAAGTCCCTATTAAGTTAGCTTAAACCAAACGAAAGGAATTAAATGTCTGCGTGGCCAGTACCGACGTTATGGATTTAGGAGTGCAAAAGTGTTGCTTTGTTATGATCATCACTTCCTGGACTTTAGTAAATCCTCAGCCACTTATAATCTTATGCACTTAATATCTTTCTGCTTTTTTCTTTTTTTTTTTTTTTAATTTAATTTTTGTAGACCAAAGGTCTCACCGTGTTGCCCAGATTGGTCTCAAACTCCTAGCCTCAAGTGATCCTTTTGCCTCAATCTCTTAAAGTGCTGGGAGGACAGGCATGAGCCACCTTGCCCAGACCTTAATAACTTTCTTTATATCAAATTGCTGTTTAAAAATCTATCACCTGTAATATGGGGCTAATAAAAAAAACTTTAATATATTTTTGGATATGAAACTATAGAGTCTTAATTGGAAGATCAATAGCAATTGCCTTAAGTAGGAAATGTCTGCAAAAAGAAATGCAACAGAAACAAAACAATGTTATTAAATTCTAAGTGGTTATGGTTGCCCCAGTGCCTTCTGTGTTAAACAGAGAGCAGAGCAGCTATGTTTAAAAGGTGTTGGCTGGGTGTGGTGGCTGATGCCTGTAATCCTAGCACTTTCGGAGGCTGAGGCAGGTGGATTGCTTGAGTCCAGGAGTTCGAGACTGGCCTGGCCAACATGGCGAAACCCCTTCTCTACTAAAAACATAAAACTTAGCTGGACATGGTGGCGCAAGAGGAGGCTGAGGCAGGGGAATCGCTTGAATCCAGGAGGCAGAGGTTGCCGTGAGCTGAGGTGCAGCGAGCTGAGGTGCAGTGAGTGAGCCACTGCATTGCAGCCTGGGCAACTGAGCAAGACTACACGTCAAAAATAAATAAATAAATAAAAATAGGTGAGACTGGCACCTCATGGACTCTTTCTCTTTGACGTAATCATAAAAGTGACTGAAATGAAAAACAAATAACTTCCTTGCAAGGAGATGCAAAATTATTTAAAAGATTCTCTCTGCCACCTAAAGTCGTTTTCTAAAAGACATGAAATCATCTCGTAGGCCTCCAAATTTCCTCACTCATCTCCTTTAATTCAGTTTAATATCTTAAAGCAAAACATCAGTATGTTTCCTACTTTCCCCCTGAAGTGTTCCCAGGGGAACAGGAAGGTGAACTCACCCTTGGAGTTCAGGGAAGAGTATTGCAGAGAGAGGCCTGCCCCAAACCTCACACAGCAGATTGAAAATTCACGTGACATTTGCATTCTACCCTGTCATAATTGTATTTGTTTACCCTTATTTTTTTTTTAAATCCATGTGGGTAATTAAACTCCAGGAATATGTGCCATGTTTGTTTTTTTTTTTTTTTAGATGGAGTCTCACTCTGTTGCTCAGGCCGCAGTGCAGCAGCATGATCTTGGCTCACTGCAACCTCCACCTCCCGGGTTCAAGCAATTCTCCTGCCTCTGACTTCCGAGTAGCTGGGACTACAGGCACCCAGCACACCGCCTGGCTAATTTTTGCATTTTTATTAGAGTCAGGGCTTCACCGTGTTGGCCAGGCTGGTCTCAAACTCCTGGCCTCAAGTGATTCACTGGCCTCAGCCTCCCAAAGTGCTGGGATTACAGATGTGCGCCACCGTGCCCAGACCTTTGTTTGTCTTGAAGCATCATGTCCCTCTGTGGTTCTTGACCCTATTGAACACATGTTTCCTTTACTTTAACAATGTGAAAAATTTGCCTCTGTAATCCCAGCTACTCAGGAGACTGAGGCAGGAGGACCCCTTGAACTCAGGAGTTCAAGATCAAAGTGGGCAACATAGCAACACTCCATTTCTTTTAAAAAGTAAACAATTTGAGGGCTGGGCACAGTGACTCACACCTGTAATCCCAGTACTTTGGGAGTCCGAGGCGGGCAGATCACCTGAGGTCGGGAGTTCGAGACCATCCTGACCAACATGGAGATAGCCCGTCTCTACTAAAAATATATAATTAGCTGGGCATGGTGGCACACGCCTGTAATCCCAGCTACTCGGGAGGCTGAGGCAGAAGAATTGCCTGAACCGGGAGGTGGAGGTTGCAGTGAACTGAGATCATGCCATTGGACTCCGGCCTGGGTGACAAGAGCAAAACTCCAGCTCAAAAAAAAAAAAAAAAAAAGAGCAATTTGAATAATGCCTTCTTAACTATCCAGAAAAAATTTTTCAAAGATAAAATAACCTAGTCACTCACATACTTTAAAAAAGAAATCAGCCGGGCGTGGTGGCTCATATTTTGGACGATGAGGTGGGTGGATCACTTGATCCCAGGAGTTTCAGAACAATGTGGACAGCATGGTGAAACCCCGCCTGTACAAAATATACAAAAATTAGCCAGGCATGGTGGCATACATCTATGTTTCCAGCTACTCGGGAGGCTAAGGTGGGAGGATCACTTGAGCCCGGGGGGTGGAGGCTGCAATGAGCCAAGATTTCACCACTGCACTCCCAGCATGGGCAACAGAATGACACCCTGTCTCAAAATAAAAAATAAGAATGAAATAAGTTCTTTGTTTGGTTTGCAAATTGGGAGGATGTAAGAGTATGTCATTCATTAAAATAACTTCAAAGTGAGTTTGCCAACACAGGAAACCACCTTTATATTACGTTTCATTCTTTGCAGTAAAGAGATCACTCAGTACCATTATATTTTGATATAGTTTTATCCTGGTACAATAGATGTTAGAATAATGATGCCAAAATAAACTTGTTAGTGAAAAAAAGAAATCAGTTCTGAAGTTCTAACTAGGAGAGAGAAATTTTTAAAGGCATTAATAAAATAAAATTTATTTTTAATATGCAAATCTTTACCCACAACTCTGTCTAGATGGCAAGAGGAGGGGGTCAAGATCTGCCCCTGGTTATAAATACGTTTAGATTTAATTGAATATTGTCGTTGCTTTTTCTTTACATTTGACCTTTTGAAATAAGAGTTAGATCAGTCTAGTCATAGATAAACACTGTGAATGGAAACTGACACTGAAGCTTTCCATCAACGGCTCAAATACTGCAATCAGTGTTATCATTGACAGCATGGTTTTCTGAAAGGAACAATTTTGTAAAGTTCCAGGTAAAACAAAGTAAATTTTCTTTTGACTTACCTGAAAGTTGCATTCCTGAAAAACTATATTCAAACTATGCCCCCCCCCCACCAAAAAAAAAAAGTCTTGAATGTGTGAAACAGAACAAAAGGTGTAGGTGCAGATAATCAGAAACAGACTTTCGGCTGCATGATGGGCAGAACATTCAAGATGGTTGGGATCCAGGACAAGTCTATTTTCTCTCCTGCATTGTAGAATATCCGACATGTTTGGGCCCAGATTGGCATTCAATGCCAATCATTGGGACAACCAAGAATGACCCATGATTTTCTCACCCCCCACCATGGGTTGGCACTCCCCATACAGAGGGCCCCAGCACCCCCTTGGCTGTGTTGTTCCCTTTAGTGTGACCCCATCATCGGCAGCTTTCAATGCAGTGCGAGGCTACCTGGAGGTGCTGAACAGCCCTCGTGATTCTGTGTCTTTCTTCTCCGCAGGGACTGAAGATCAGTGTGCTGTGGACTCTGTACTACGGCATCCTTAGTGCTTTTGCGCCTGTGTACAGCTGGATCCTGGTGCTCCGGGGCCTGGTGGGCTTTGGGATCGGAGGAGTCCCCCAGTCGTAAGTAAATACCCAGTGCTGGCTATGCAGCCTGGACGCCCATTGACAGGTCTGTTCATGGCCTGGGTGGGGAGGTAGGGGCTGAGATGGTGGGGGGCAGGGATACAGAGAGGCTACACCGGAGCTTCCAGGATCAAGGAGCTGTGATGTAGCAAGAAACTAGCATCATTATCTTATTGTTGTGATCAACAACAACAGCAAAACAACACAGTGGCTGGAAGGTTGCGAAAGCGAAGTAATAATACATCTAGCATTGATTGACTGTTCCACTTGGACACATCACAGCAGCCTAAGAGGTGTGTGTTCTTGTGTTATTGCAAGCTCTGTTTTACAGTTGGGGAAACTGAGGCCCAGAGAGTGAAATCATCTATCTGAATCACATGGTGGGTAAGCAGAACTAGGAACCTGAGTTTGTCTGCCTACAACATCCATGCTCTTAGCCACCATGAACGCTGCTTCCTACGCCCTTCTAGCCCAAAGTCAAGGCAGGGTGTGATGCCCACGACATGTCACCCGGGCATTAGTTTGCTGTTGCGGTTGTACTTTAAGGTACTGAGAATATTCAGAGCTGTAGGAAGAAGCCATTGTCTCCTGGGGGATTGAGGAAGACTTCCTATTTGTGATGGGCCCTGAAGCAGAGCTTGGCAAAGTATGGCATATGAGCAGAATTTGACCTGCTAACTGGTTTTGTAAATAAAGTTTTATTGGAACACGCCACACCCTCCAGTTATGTATTATCTATGGCCGCTTTCACGCCACAGTAACAGAACTGAGTAGTTTCAGCAGATCTATGGCCTGCAAAGCCTGAACTATTTACTATGTGGCCCATTCTAGAAAAAGTGTGTTAGACCCCACCCTAAAAAATTATAATAGCCAATATTTAGTGTTAACTATGTGGCAGTTGCTTTTCTAAACAGTTTACCCAGATGATCTTTAACCTCTCATTTTCCCTAGAAGGTAAATTCTATTATTAACCCCATTTTACAGACAAAGAAACTGAGGCACAGAGAGGTAAAGTAACTTGCTCCAGGCAACTCAACCAGGAAGTGGCAGAGCTGAAATATGAACCTGGACCTTCTAACCCCAGCGCCTGGGCAATAACCTTTGCATTTTATTGCCTTGCTATTAATAAGGCAAAGGATTTGGAAAGACCCAGAAGGAGACTTGGAGAAGATGTAGGATGTTTTGTAGAAAGAGAACTGCATGAAAAGAGGAAGCTGTAGCTGAGGCTGGGGAAGGCTAATTGTCTGGTCGGTCAGCTTGGAGGGATGAGATCTGTAAGAATTGAAAGCTGGCTGGGCACGGTGGCTCACACCTGTAATCCCAGCACTTTGGGAGACCAAGGTGGATAGATCGCGAGACCAGCCTGAGCAACATGGTGAAACCCCATCTCTACTAAAAATACAAAAGTTAGCCTGGGCATGGTGGTGGGCGCCTGTAGTCCCAGATACTTGGGAGGCTGAGGCAGGAGAGTCGCTTGAACCCGGGAGGCAGGGGTTGCAGTGAGCTGAGATCGTACTGCTGCACTCCAGCCTGGGTGACAGAGAGAGACTCTGTCTCAAAAAAAAAAAAAAAAAAAAAAATCAAAAGCTGAGGTTGGACAGGTAGGCCAGGGGAAGCTCGCTAAAGGCCTTAAATGCCAGGCCAGAGAGATTCTATTGGTGATGAGGAGCCACTGAGAGTTCTTGAGCTGCGGAGGTACTTTAGAAGTATTAATCTGGCTGTGACAGGTGGAACGGGTTAGAGGGAAGGAATCATGTTGCAATAATTTAGGGAAATTTTGCAAGAGAACCAGGTTGATCCCTTGTCGTGTATTCATTTATTTCACCAACATTTCTTGAGCACATAGAGCTGCTAGTGCTGGGGATGCAGCATTGAGCAAGAGCGCCATGGTACCTATTCTAGGATGGGATCCTGGGGAATCGGCTTTGAGATGGAGATTACAGTGCAGGTGGTTACTAGGATTAACACCTGTGAGAAAACTAGGCCTGGCAGAGGGGGAACCTAAGTTGCAATACCATTGCCACAGAGGCCTCTGCTCAGCCTACAGGGGTTCAGAAGCTGAGCTGGCCCTTCAGAGGTGTTTCAGATTGGGGCAAGGGGGCTAGACTGTTTTACCTTCACAACAACCAGGCATCGGAGGTGGGCTGCCCTGAAGGACGGAGCATGACCTTGGGCAAGGCAGCTACTTTTGGCCAAGGCAACTTCCGCAAGGGACTCAGCTAGGAGCTCTTAGCAGGCAACGCTCCTGCTCATTCTGGAGGGAATAAATGCCTCAGTCCTGAAGGGCAGAGCACGTGGCACATCACAGCATCTTTCACAGTCCAGGGTGGATCCACTTGCTTCAAATATAGTCGTGCATCACTTAATGATGGGGAAGTGTTCTGAGAAATGCATCAGTTGGTGATTTTGTCACCATCCAAACATCATAGAGTGTCCTCATACAAACCTAGATGGGACTACCTCCTACACAGCTGGGCTATACAGGGTAGCCTATTGCTCCTGTGCTGCAAACCTGTACAGCATGTAATGGTGCTAAATACTGCAGACAATTCTAACACAATGGAATTTGTGTACCTAAACATATCTAGACATAGAAAACCTACCGTAAAAACACAGTATTAAATTAAAAAAAAAAAAAAGGTCGGGCATGGTACCTCACACCTGTAATCTCAGCACTTTGGGAGGCTGAGGTAGGAGGATCACTTGAGCCCAGGAGTCTGAGATAAACCTGGGCAACATAGTGAGACCCCCCGTCACTATTAAAGAATGATAAAAATAGGCCAACTTTGGGTGCACTGCCGATGAGTTAGCCCTGCTTTGCAAGAAGCAGTACTCTTCAATAAAGGATTGCAAAATAAATAAATAAATAATAGAAATCACAGCCTTACCATCTTATGGGACCACCATCATATATGTGGTCTGTTGTTGACTGAACTGTTATGCAGCCCATCACCGTAATCAGTTCACACCACCTAAGAACAGTTCCTCCAGGATTCTGGTTACTCTCTTTTCGGCAACAAGCTAATCTACAGTCCCTGTGATTGCTGCTGGCCTCATGGCTGCAGTGGATGCCAACGTCTCCCGCCTCTGCTCCCCATTCTAGATTCCTCTCAGCTTCAGCGAGCACTCCCACTGATCTAGACGGTTTGCTTGGGTGGGTGACCGAGACCTCATGCCTAAGGGGTTCGAGTCCCTGGTCACCATGCCTCTTTTAGGCCATAGCTGCTATGCTTGAACATTTAACACCAAAATTGAGCAGGGGAATATCAAGAGATGTCTGGTATATCACCTGGGTGCCCCTATGAGAGATGAGGCTTATTAAGTGTTAATGATGGTTAGGATCAATTTCTCTGACAGAATGCTGACTCTTTTTCTTGCCTCTTTTCCTTGACACAAAGAGCCCAGAGTTACTGGGTAGAAGCTGTTGCTTAAAGTCCAATGGGGCCGGGCCCAGTGGCTCATGCCTGTAATCCCAGCACTTTGGGAGGCTGAGGTGGGTGGATCACCTGAGGACAGGAATTCAAGACCAGCCTGGCCAGCATGGAGAAACCCACCTATACTAAAAATACAAAAATTAGTTGGTTGTGGTATTGCATGCCTGTAATGCCAGCTACTTGGGAGGCTGAGGCAGGAGACTCGCTTGAACCCAGGAGATGGGGATTGCAGTGAGCTGAGAGCTCGCCACTGCCATCCAGCCTCAGTGACAAGGTGAGACTCCTCCATCTCAGAAAAAAAAAAAGAGTCTACAGGACTCTTGCTGGGTCTCCTGTGGAAGCTTTCCCTCCCCGGGAGCCAGGACCTCTATAGCCACAGAGCCTAGGAGTTGCAGGATGTGAAGTACAAATCCCCTGACGTGGGTCACTGGGACTGATGACAATGAAGCCTACTCTTACTTCAACCCCTTCATTTCCAGATCCGTGAATCTCTTCTCCTGGGAACGAAGCATCATAATGACAATGGACTTGAGTGGGTATTGTGTCCTGGAGGACAGTGCCCCATGGTCATAGGCATCATCTCTAAGCTGACACCTTAGTGTCACCTTCAAAGGACTGTTCCATTGTTTCCTCAGGTATCATCTTCAGGATAGCACAATATATGATAGGACCAGTGGATTCCACGGCCATATATCCACTTTTTTTTTTTTTTTTTTTGAGACAGAGTCTTGCTGTGTCACCCAGGCTGGAGTGCAGTGGCACGATCTTGGCTCACTGCACCCTCTGCCTCCTGGGTTCAAGTGATTCTTCTGCCTCAGCTTCCTGAGTAGCTGGCATTACAGGAACACACCACCATGCCTGGCTAATTTTGGTATTTTTGGTAGAAATGGGGTTTCACCATGTTGGCCAGGCTGGTCTCGAACTCCTGACCTTGTGATCTGCCCCCCTCGGCCTCCCAAAGTGCTGGGATTACAGGCATGAGCCACCATGCCCGGCCCCGTATAACTACCTCTATGTCTCCTTCAGTATATATGGGCTCCTTGGGTCCCACACCATGTCATGAGTGATCCTTTGTCAGTGGGTCAGACATTGTGTGAGTTCTCGGGTGATGGTGACACCTGAGACTTTGCGGGCAGGAAAGATAAACCAGTACCCAGAATAGGTGCCGATTCGGTGAAGATGAATTGCTGCTCCTTCAAAACTGGAAGAGTCCAACGTACCTAAGTTGCTACCAAGTGACATGGAGTGGTTCCATCCTGGGGCGGTCCACGTTGGTCTCTGTTGCTGGCAAGCTGGCTCTTTGGCAACACAAGCAGCAAGACAGATCAGCATCGGAGGTGGGGATCTGTTCAGTCCCACTAGAGCACCCACCCTCTAAGGGGTAATAGTTCAGGGATTGACTTCTTATGCCTGCTGAGCATCATGACTGGGGAAGACTGGAAGAGACAGCCTAGAAGGGTCATGCTAATTCTAAAATAGATCATCAGCTCTGAAAGCAGGCTGCTTGGGCTTGAATCCTGGCTCTGTCACATAATAGCCGTATGACCTCGGGCAAGTCACTGA